CTATTTTTCTTATTTAATAGTTAAATATATGTTTTTAGCACCCTCCTAAGCAATTTTGCATTGAGGATGCTCTTAGGATTTTATTTTGTGAAAACATGAAATATACTGAAGTTCGACGCATTTTGTGGCCCCATACTCTCTCCATCCCGAAGAACTCTTCCCCGGCGTCGGAAGCAACAAACGAGCAGATCGATGGTCGTGCTGGACTTTGCATGAACGCCACGTAGCTATTGGTCTAGATTTAGATGTAATATATGTTTGGTTTGTGTTGGTAGTGTTTTATATTCTACTGTAACGTAGCCCATTGGGCTTTAACGAAAAAACGTTTGCCGTCATCCAAATTTGATTCGAACTAAGGGACGTAGGTAACATCCATCATTTGAAAAGATCTGGGAAGTGTGACAAAATTACGGCACACTTGTGTATTTGTTTATTTTTGCTTTTGTAGTTGTTTATTGATGGCTACGTCTCCATCAATCCTCTATATTAATATATAGAGGAAACATTAGATAAAAATCTTAGGTGTCATTCAAAAAATATTTTTAAAAAGTTCTATAGAAAGCCATTAAAAATATTTAATGACATAGATCATTTATAATTTTATATACAATATATAATCATCAAACGAATATAGAAACAATGAATATGTGGTAATTAATATGGAAAATTTTATTTTTAAAAAATTTGTATACTAATAAAGGAGACATTTGGTGCAAAAATCACATTTGTAACAAATATGTAATTTAAATTAACCAATAAAAACATCTGAATCAAAACTATATGGCATGATAGAAATCTATACATATTTTTATTAATTTTCTAACATAAACCCACTAATACATGATTTACAAATCTAAATTCAACTAAATATAATACTTAAACTTACCATATCATCTATTTATAAATTTTAATATAACTACAAATGTTTTAATTATGATATATCTATTATACATATATAACTATACTTACAAATTTTTATATATTTTATTATTGAAAAACATATATTATTTTTTTCGTTTGTTATATCCGATAAATTCATATAAATCTAAAATTTATACGATTTATTGCATGCTCTAAGATTTACATGAAATAATAAGAATCAAGTATACACTTAAATATATTGAAATAAATGACATTGGCACATTTATTTTTTTAATTTTGTCAATACAAATATAAAAACTAATTGCATCAAAATGTATTTAATCAAAATTTAACTTTATTACATTTATGCACACTATTTATCATTTTTGGACGTTAATAAATATTTCAAATCATATGTTTTGTCATACACGT